TTTATAAACTGTCACACTTAATGGTAGTATCCTTTTTATCTGTATCTTTGTAGTGTACTGGCCCTTATGCTCGTCTATTTCCTTGTATGTGTGTTAGCATTTTATTTTATTTGTAACTATTATTCACATGGAAGTTTTATTTCTGCTCTTTTGGTAAACTTTTTTAGTTAAAAAATCTGTAGTACATGAATATCAATTTCCTTTGTTATTTTGTTCTGATTTATTGCATCTATATGTGCTATTACAATTTCAATGGATTTCCTTCCAAACACTTGAAGACAGATATTTATTCTGATGGTATTTTTTGCTGCATGTCTGATTGTATATGTGATACTGGCATGCCAATAAGTTGTTGGCAAGATTATTCTTATGCATGCCTATCTGTGTACTGTTTAACCATTGATATGCTTTCACCTTTCCTTTTTGGGTTTCAGGACTGATGCCAAGCTGGACCAGAGATATTGTGGCTGAGATCTGCTGATTACAAGTTTCACAGACCATTTATATCAAGTTTACATTTTGACTTTTGAGCATAGTTTGTAACAAGATACAATTCCAGATTGAAAAATTGTCCTGTAATTTTGTAAATAACGCAACATTCTGGTATTAGTATATTGATTTCATCAACTTTGGCTGCCATTTGATGTTCTGAATTGAATTGAGACTTGTTTTGCATTTCTCCTCTTGTTTCCTCCTTTAAATATATAATTGCACTTTGTGGGGAATTTGTAGATTTCAGTCGGTTATATTTGGGGAAAGAGAAAGACTTGAACTTTTTGATTCTGGTTGCTTGATCACCTGAATTCTGGGAAACTCTGCCTGCGCTGTCAACATGGAGAGCTTAGCACAACTGGAAGCGTTGTGTGAAAGGCTTTACAATTCACAGGACTCTGCTGAACGAGCTAGTGCAGAAAATACTTTGAAATGCTTTTCAGTGAACACTGATTACATTTCGCAATGTCAATACATTCTGGACAATGCTTTGACTCCATATGCTTTGATGCTGGCTAGTTCAAGCTTGTTGAAGCAAGTGACAGAGCAGCGCCTCCCTTTGCAGCTACGACTTGATATTCGTAATATTCTTGTTTGCTTGCAGATAATTATGGCTATGAATGTTATAGGTGGAACTTTGTATGATTGCCTTTAATCCTCTGACAAACTCACTTTTTGTTGTTGTTGTTGATGTGCTGTGTTGTTTGCTTCACTGACAATCTGCTTCAAATTTCTGTATCATTTTGTGCACAACCAGCTATGTACTCATATTTGTCTACAGGTTGATATTCATAATATTCTTGTTTGCTTAAATTTTGTGTGATTGCCTATGATCCTCTGACGGTTTTTTTTTTTAATTTTTAATTTTTGCTTTCTTTATGTTTTTCTGTGCTTCATTGACAATCTACTTTACATTTCTGTATCTTAAATTCAATTTTTCTTGTGTTTTCTTGCAAGAAATAAAAAATTAGTTACAATGCTAATATAAGTTGTACAATAAAATTAATTTTCTTATACTTTTCACAACTTTCAAGCTAAACAAACTTATAGAAGTTAAATTTTTTCTATTTCTTTCACTTTCTACCTATTTCATTATAAACAAATGGTGCCCAAAGTAATGTTTAGTTGATTGGAATGACCATTCCATTAGAACATCCATTCTTATATTTGATTTTACTAAAAATAAGGATAAATTACAAGCACACCCCTGAGATTTATATAAATTACGAATTATCTCTTGTAGTTCTAGAAATTACAATATGCTTCCTAAGGTTTATAATTTCATAACAAATAAATCATTAAGTTTATTAACCAATTTTAATGATGTTAAAATTTTATTTTAATTAATAATTCAGATAATTTTATTATTGTATAAGAGAATAATTAGAAATTTTATTTTTTTAGTTAATTCTGTTAAATAAAAAATTCAGACAAAAATATATTTGTAATATTTTAAACTATAAAAAATAATTTATATTTTAAACAAATCTCAAAATGTGTATTTGTAATTTATGCTTCTTAAAAATGCAATCCCGTGGAAACTTGTTATTTTTTAGGACAAATTACATATACCTCCCTCAAGGTTTAGCTAAATTACAGATATCCTCCTGAGGTTTCGGAAATTACAAATACCCCCCTGAGGTTTATATTTTCATAACAATTTGCCCCATAATTTGTTATGCAAATAGTACCTTCAGAGAGTATCTGTAATTTCTCAAATCTTAGGGGATATCTGTAATTTTGCTAAATCTTGAGGGGGTATATGTAATTTGCCCTATTTTTTAATAGTATTCTTTTCATTGGTAATGGAACTTGAGAAAAATGTCAAATCATAATTGGCTTGGCAATTGATAAAAAAAAAAAAAATGGAGAAATTACAAAAAAAAAAAAAAAACCCAGGATTTAAAGCCTTTTTCAAATTAAATCCCAGGTTTTTAATTTTGACAATTTGTACCCCATCATTCCACCCATGTTTCAATCCTATCCCCCCGTCCATATTCGTCTTTATTAGTTAACGGAAGACTGATTTAGGCGCTAAAATTGCCATAATCTTCACGATTTAGGGCAAAATTTCCCTAATCTGCAATATAATAGACTTCTTCAGTACCTCCAGTATTTCATCTTCAATCGCTATCTCCTTTTTCCCAAAACAAACCATCAAATTTAAAAAAATACTTCCAAAAAAAACCAAAACACATTTTAGCTTATGTATTTCTCACCATTGTGTGAAAACAAGCTCCGAAATCGTGAGAAGCGACAAAGACGTGGTCGAAGCCCGACTTCAGTTCCAGAATGGAAGCTCCGATGAGAGACTCAAACAAGGCACGAGAGACTAGAATAGGGCGCGAGAGGGTAAGCGGTTTTGGAAAGAGAAACGATGGAGGTTTGAGAGAGAGAGGTGGGTGGAGGAATTGTGGGTAATGAGGGAGAATGTGAGGAAGTAGGAGGAGGAGAGAGAAAACCAAAAGACCCATTTGAGGTATCTATAGCAATGGGTCTTCTTCTCTATTTGTCTTCCACGATGTTTGGTGGTGGTGTGTAATTGTCTCATTCTTACATAGAATCCTTTGTTTTTGGAAGCTCTGTTGAGCTCTGTCATGTTCTTCTCTCTTAACAGTGTAGTTGTTGAGATGGAGCTTTTAGTTTTGTTTTGAGAGATGAATAGGAGATCAAGAAACAGAGATTGGAGAGCTCGACTATTCTTGAACTCAACCTTGATCTTTTCTAGCTGGAACGAATTCGAAGAGAGCTCAATGCTAGCATTGTAAGTCCTTCCAGTGTCCTCATATTTCGATTCCTTCCTTTCTTCCCCTTTTATCAACACACTGTCATACTCCACCAAAAGCTTCACGTCTTCCTTCCTTCTCTATCCCCGGCATCTCCATTCTTACGAACAAACCTTCCGATCCACTCTCTTCGTCGATACTTGAAATGGATTTTCCATGTATTATTGATTGCAAGTACCTTTAAAACACAATGGATTCAAAAATTGAACCAAATCAATTTCACAAAAAACAAGTTTGATTTGTGAAAATAGAGATGAGTATCGCGATGAATGGAAATTTTGGGTGAAAGAGCCGTTATGGGTGTTGATAGTGCAATTTGCTTCAAGTCTCTGTGTTGCTAAGCTAAGGGTTTTCTTGCTCTTCAATCCAATCCACGTTTGTTTGGACATAAGATCAGATTACGATCCCACAACAACAAATCGTGAAGATTAGGGCAATAGAGGGGTGTCTTTTGCCCTAAATTGTAAAGATTAGGGTAATTTTGGCGCCCAAATCAGTTTTCTGTTAACTAGTAGAAATGGAGATGGACAGGGGGATCGGATTGAAACACGGGTGGAATGGTGGGGTACAAATTTTTAACATTGAAAACCTGGGGTTTAATTTGAAAAAGGTGCTAAATCCTAATTTTTTTTTTTTTGTAATTTCCCAAAAAAAAAATTCTAAAAAGCTCACATTTTTACTTTTTTGGACCACAAGTTAAAATGCAGCCACTACTTTCTTACAATCACAACCATCGTGGTTGCGGCTTCATCAAACCTAATAACCTATGATTACTAACTAACCCACCACCAATAATATAATAAACGTAAGAGAAAAAACAAAAAATAAAAATTTCATACCCTAACTTCTTTTACTTATCAAACAACTTAATTAAATTCTAACACTTTACTTTTCAAATAAAAAAATTTAACATTTTACTTTTATAACTTAATTTTTAATTTTCAATTTTATTAAATATCACCTAAATGATGGAATTGTTAATGTGTTGGTAATAAATTAGAAAATTTATTTTTTATGCAATTACTAGGTCAATGTCAATCAATTATTTTTTGTTTGGGAGGCTTCTATTTAAGCAAAAATATTGTTTCATACCTGGTGTTGTGCACTTTAGTCAATAAATTATATACTTATTTTTAAATGACAAGGGCCAAACTTCACATTAAGTAAACTATAGAGATAAAATAAAACTTTCCCTTTAAATTAAAATGTCTAAATTTAAATAATTTTGAATTTCTTTTTTAAACTCCGATCATTTCATAAAATTGTGTGCTCAAAACATATTCAGAGTTGGATTTGGTAAACAACTCTTCCATCCCTCTCCAATATTGGCAGAAGAAACAAAGGCTCTGTTTGGATGTGTTTTGAAATTACATTTCTAACCTATCACTCCCGCTTCACGTTTGGATACCACTTTCAAAATAGAATTCCACCATATAATTCAAACTACAATTTGAAAACCCGTTTGGCAGCTTTGTGATTCATTTCTCCACTTTTAACGTCTTCAGCCTTCTTCCTCTTCCTTTTTGAAAAGCTTCCATATCCATCGTCTCTGAAAAGGTTCACGTGAACTGATCTACTCATCTTTCTTTCTCTCTTTCAAAGATCAGACTGAAGATTCGTCATGGGTAGTGTTCACAGAGAACTCTCAAATCATATTTACAAAACTCTACCAAACGCAACCAAATATGTGAAATTTGCCACTTTCGTCTATCATTGCAATTTGTGAAATTTGGAGTTAAAACTAGCTGTAATCAGTTGTTTGTATTGTGTCTCTTGTTCATTTGATACATACAAAGATGTGGGGTTAAACTCCCAAACACACACATTCCTATGCAATAAATCAATTATAATGTAGGAAAGTAACTAGATTCTACTACCTTAGCATCATTGAGAAATATTCCTAAGCAATAAATCTATTCTGAGGGATTTAGAACTATCTTTTGGCAATGAACAGTGTAGAATAGGTATATTTTAACAATGTTACTTTGATGGTCATATTGCTATTTGGCTCAACGATCTTTTTTCCATTTAATTTCTCTATACAAACAACAGTTCAAGATCTGTTTAATGAACATCTGTTTAAAATCTGTTCTTTTTTGGAAAATTTTCGTTTAGAAATTTTATTTTATCTTGAAATTGCTGATTTGTGGAATTATTGTGAATTTTTTCAATTGATCACTGAACACTGTTTTTGGACATTATTTTTGTGTTGTTGGCAATTTTATAGTTAAATATTGTGTCAAACTTAACATAATATATAGCAAAAAGTAAAATTTAGTAACTCGTTTAGCTGATCATTGGAGAACAAAAAACTAGTCCTCATGCTAAACATAGCAATAGCAGCCCATTTGGCTCTCTATTGGAGAAGCTCTAGTCTTGTTTTTTTATGATATTTGAAGCCAAACAAAATAAATAAATAAAAAATCTGAAACAAGCATGGCATGCTAATTTTAAAGGGAATTGGGTCAATAATCTAAATTTGAACCAAATTTTATTCTTTTTTGTCCATAAAGGCAACAATAATTTGAAAGATCATATTATTCCATCTATCTATTTACTTATTTATACATCGCCTCCGTTGGTCGTCGGAAACTTTTCTGGAGACCACGATCGGCAGTGTAATTGATAATAGTGTGAGAATAAAAAAGAAAACAAAAATAAAAAAAGTACAAAATGAAGAAAAAAAAGAAGAAAAAGAGTATTTTGTACATCTCACGAATATATTTTATGAGTAATGATACATACCGCTAATTTAAGAGCTCTAAATAGAGCTCTAGTGAGGTGGAAGAGAGAGAGTAGAGAGAGATAGAGAGAAGAGTGTGGGTGTAGACCGCCCTGAACTCGTTCTGCGCGCGAGGGCGCGAATTGG